ACCTCTTTTTATTCAAAATATTTAATGGATAAATTAATCCCAAACTAAAACAATTTCAATATTAATTACATTTTAAAACAAATCTACAACAAAATTATTTACACACTTTTCTTTATTAAGCATTAAATTACGTCACATAGTTTATCTAGACTTTTCAGTTAGGTTGATGAATATTTATGAGCGTTTCTTAAATTTAAAAATTTTGAAAACTAACAACATTTGTATTTTGTTTATAAATTGGTGTTGAGTCTGACGCCGTGTTGTACGATGAATGGATGCATAACGTTGCCATCATTAGTGAACACTCATGTTAGATATATCATCCAACATTCTTCTGAATCCTCTGCACTGTCCTCAAATTGACTGAAATGTTCGTGTTGGAGCGAATGCCAAGCAGTACAGCATTCCAAATTTCTGGCGGAATGAATTGCTTCCTGCTGCTTTTTTTCTTACACACACATACACACCGTCCGACCACAAGGAATCAGTACATAGACACACATACATACACACACATGCACACATACATACATACATACATACACACGTACTTCCTAAGTTGTGTGGGGTTTGTGTGCGTGCTCGTGAGTAGTTCCCCTGTTTTGTCAACATGCGTATATATATATATATATATATATATATATATATATATATATATGTGTGTGTGTGTGTGTGTGTGTGTGTGTGTGTATACATATATACATCCTCGTGTCTCCCGTATGTGAGTGTGCGCTCATGTGAGCGTGTGTTCATGTATGTGAGTGATTTGATCATTGTATTTGGTCACCTTGTGTGCATGTTGTGTGCTTTTGCGTGTGGGGTTATGACCTATTTAGTTCGGGTTTAAATTTATTTATAAAGTTTTTTTCTTGTATTTTTAGGTACGAATAATTGTCTGTTTGATATATCGGCATGATATTAAATTTACCCTGGTTACATTTGAAGATGTGTTGTGATACAAAATGTTTTCTGTTGTCTGGCAATTTTATATTGCTTTTGTGTAGGGAGACCCTGTTGTTCAGTTGTTGGCTGATGCCTATATATGACTTCTTACATTTTGTGCATTTAAGTACATAAATTACATTTTTGTAGTTTCATTTTAGGTTTTTATTTATTGTGAAAAAAAAACATTCACAATAAATAAAAACTTAAACTGCAACAAAATGTTTAGAAAATGAAATGTATTTTAATAAACACTGACTTTATAATTATTTAAAGTATGTATACATTATATGCATGTTTCATTAAAAACGACAGACAAGGTAAGACGGTTAAGTTTTTATTTAATTTTTCTTGTGTTCGAACAAGAGCGCTCTCTTCTGGACAAAGAGTATGTAAAAACTGTCCAAATGTCTTATAGTTCCGAGCGCTTTCGGCTATACTCACCTGATTTTTTTACTAAAAATATTTTTTGTCTACTGTTTTGGGGGTTAAAATAATTTTTAATTTTACTAATATAAAGACCCCTTCCCGACCACCTAGGAGATTTATTCACCCTAAGGTATTCTATTGATAATTATAAATTTGGATATAAATGAGATTCAGGAAAAAACTGTGCAAAAAAAGTGACTCAGATATCGCATTCTAATGATTAAACTGGTAAATTTAAAGAGCTTTTGACAAAATATTGAAAACTATTTTACAATACACCCAGAACAATATTCTAGAAAATTCTAGAACAGCTTAAAGAGTATTCCAGAATATTCCAGAAAGCCTCATACAATATAAAAACAGCTTGAAATAGCCACTCAGAACCACTTAAAGCATCTATTATTGCCCTCTCAAAAGCAGGCAAGTCTACGAGAGAAATTGCAGAAAATTGCTATAATCTCGCACTCAACTATCTCTCGAGTGCTTAGGGCACATAATGATGCCACTCCTGCTCCAAGGAAGGAAACAAGGGGACGAAGGAAAAGGATTGGTGAGAGAACTGGCTGGGTAATCAAGAGAGAAGATGTGAAGAATAGGACTATAACTAGCCAGGAAATTGCAGCCAGTCTAAGGAAAGGGCAAGGTATTAGTCTTGTCTCTTCAACAGTCCATCGGTGGCTGTTAGAACAAGGCTACAAATCTTGTACACGAATGTTTAAGCCGCTAATAAGCAAAGCCAACAAAGCTAAGAGACTTGAATGGGCTTACTATTACAAAAAATCACCGTAGAAGACTGGAAGAATGTTCTCTTTTCCGATGAAACGAAAGTTGAGCTAAATTCAAAGGATAAACGATCTAATATCCGAAGAAGAAGCTTTGAAAGCTCTTTGAATTTAGCAGTAAGTACGTTCAAGCATCCGTTCAGTATAATGTTCTGGGGGTGCTTTTCTTTCATGAAACAGGTTTCTTAAAACCTATTGAAAAGACCCTCAGGAGCGAGTGGTACAAGAGAATTTTAGAGTCTTGTCTGCTCCCTTCTGCTGAAAGGGTTCAAATCGACCCCACCAAGCTCATTTTTATGCAGGATAATGCTCACTGTCACCAATCAAAATTGATGAAGGAATACTTTGATGAGAAACAGGTGAGTGTTATGACATGGCCGCCCCAATCTCCTGACCTCAACCCCATAGAAAACTTATGGAGCATTATAAAGTACAGGCTCTCGAGAAAGCAGTTGAGCAACAAAGAGGATTTGATTGTGAATTTCATATCAGAATGGAATTCAATGCTTGTAGATGAGATTTGCCAGAACCTAATCAAGTCAATGCCAAAAATAGTTGAAAAGGTTATTCAAAATAAAGGAGGACCCATAGATTATTAAATATTTCAAACTATATTACCTATCTATTATCTATTATAAACAAAATAAGACAGCTAACCTTTTCCTCAAAAATAACAACACTCCAGTTAAGTAAAAAAAGAACAAACATTATCTATGAGTTCAAATGCCCCTTAAGGAACTGTATTTCTGATCAAAACAGACTCATAAATAATTACATTGGTTACACAACTACATGCTTATCCAGAATCCTTACGTTATACCTATCTGGTCATAGCTCCATTAGAAACCATTTAAACACACATGCACAAACTTACCAGACTCCATTAGAAACCTACTAGTAGAAAACACAAATATATTAACTGCATCCACTTGTAAAAAAAGATTAAAAATAATGGAAGCTTTAATAAGAAGAAGAAAAAGCCAACTCTTAACAATATTAATTACGAACAAGAATAAAATGTGCTAACCGTATTCGTAAATTAAAAACATCCCTACCACACACTAAGACATACACATAACGCACACACTCAATTAAGCTGAAAAATTGAATCATCCTTGATAATGGCTAAAGGTATAGCCGAAAGCGCTCGGAACTATAAAACATTTGGACAGTTATTACACACTCTTTGTCCAGAAAAGAAAGCTCTTTTTCGAACACAAGAAAAATTAAATAAAGACCTAACCGTACTACCTTGTCTGTCGTTTTTAATGAAACATGCATAAAGGAAGGGTTGCTGCCTAAATATACAACTATATATATATATATATATATATATATATATATATATATATATATATTGTGTAGCCTTGTTCCCGTTATACCTGATTTAACCGTAGGTAGGCTATTTCAAATTACTCACTTTCGAAAAGAATATAGACAAATGTGTTCAAATTGATATGCCATTGGTTTTTGAAAATGACTGAGATACTCGAAACAGCAAATAAGGCGATAATGTCACTTGGACGCAGAGGATGAGAAGAATTTAGTGAGAAGGAGTGAAGGACTATTTCAAGAAGCTAGAAGATGGCGATTGATATTGTATTTGATTTTTTGAAGATTGTGGTTGACGTTGAAACAAAAGATCGGAAAGGAGTTCCACAAATGCGAAGTGCGAGAAAAGAAAATGTTAGAATAGAAGTAGCGGTTGCATCTCTCAAGTTCAACAGTAAAACAGTGAGAGGCATGCTAATTTAGTTGCACGCTTAAATTCATTTAGTCGGGGCACCAGGGAAGAAAATCTCACCAGAGCTGTTGCCATGGAAATATTTGTAGAAAAGTAAAAACGGAAGAGAGCTACGTCAAGTCGGTGAGGAAGTAACTGAAGTTGAGTCACCTGGTTAGGATCGATTACATTGCAGACCCTTCATTGCATTTTATCAATAATTAGAGATATGCAGCAGGAACACCCGAAAAGATATGCCAGCAGTATTCATTGCGCGGAAGAATGGGAGGTTTATAATTGTGCAAAATGGATTCTGAGGAGAACATTTTTTCTAGCATGTCACAGTGTCCCAATTTTCCCTGAAGTAGACGTAGCTATTAATTTAATTTCGTCGTTTCACTTTATGTCCGTGGAAAACATGAGCTCTTGCAGAATCCTATGACTCCGGGGAATTTAGCTTGGAAAACAGTGATCAAGACGCCAATTTAACATTTTTATTAAAAGTTAATCCTTATTGCATTTTCAGCCTTTGCCTCGATATATAACGATGGTTTTTGTAAGTACCTCTGAGACAAAAGAACAGTAGAAATGAATTTTTAAAACACTGGACACTTAAAGGTTGACAACATCTTATTTAAAACGTTTTAAATGTAACTAATTTCTTATAAAGCTATTATCATCGTGACATTTAATGATAGACGACTTGTAAAAAAAGAAAAATATATCAGAAATGCAGGAATTATTGGCTCCGGGCATGACCTACAAGAAGCCAAAATCAAAGAAGTACTTGATATTAATATCGGAGTTTGGCAGGATAAGTTAATAGCTTTGGAAACAGTAAATATTATGTAAATAGTTTTGTCATCAATACCAAATGAAAAGATAACATCCATAGATATTGGACGAATAACTATAATATTAAACATTGAACAATGTCTAAAAAATATCAATAAATTTGAATTCTTCCGCGTAAAAATCTTAGGAGAACTTTAAAGACATACAGTTATTTCGTGGGTTAGAAAAAGACAAAGGATTTTGGAGAAGACTGATAAAATATATAAAGTTGATGAAAATGAGAAGTGACACTCATTTGCTGTTTGCATACAAGTCGAAATAGAGCTTATGGCAATATTACTTTGAAACACCGGTACGATCACTGAAGTTAAGCAACGTTGATCCTGATCAGTATCTAGATGGGTGACCGCTTGGGAATACCAGGTATTCAGGATATGCAGGTGGAGTAACTGGAGAGCCAAGTTCCAATTCCAGTTGAGTTCGTTATATTCAAATGCGCGCAAATACTCTTGGGAAATGGTATGAATCCCAATCTTCTCCCCCACACCAGTTATTAGTTAATTATGAGAACTTTTATCAGGAAAAATTATTATTATCTTACAATCTAAAAATATTATCTGGCTTTAAATAACCCGCAAAACTTGATAATCTGTAGAAAACAGAAACCAATCAAGTCGAATCAGATTTTATGATGAAGATGATAGAGGAATGGAAGAGGATCTAAAATTGTTGAATTCAAAAGAAGAACCGAAAATGATTTTACTAGTTTTATCAATTGCTGATAGGTTAACTACGAGTTTCCTTCAAATGTCTTCGTGATTACAAATTGAATTACATTTCCTAAATGAAATAGAAAAAAAAATTAGAAACTATCAACATGTGCTTCCCACTGATTAACGTTTGGGCACTTGTGCTTCAGTTCGACATAGAAAAATGTCAATTTTCAACAAAATATAACGCGCGATGAAAGATAGTTTTAATATTATAATCCAAAGTAGGCATCATTATGGTGTCTACTAGAATGGTAGGAAAACCCTGTTGCAGTGAGCGGTTCAAGCAGATTTTGTGTTTATTTAATCCTTACAGAGCCAATTTATGATTTATACTGTAACTATGCGTACTGTTTATTGGAGACAGTAGTTAATCTTGTGTGATCAGTACTTGAACAAAGAAAGTACACTCAAACCCTGTGTCCCGATGAGTGGTGACTTTGTGCTATCACAGCCTCAGAACAGTTCAATCTACCAAATTCCACTGACAAGACCTGGGTCTAACTATTGGGACATTTGCAAATGATCACGCTCGCTGAGATTTCGTCCCAAGACAACATTATTAAAAGATTGACTCCATGATAAATAGCTCATGGTGAGATTCGAGCCGGGGTTTCATGGTTGGAACGCTAATCGTCTAGCTGTTCGGCCACTATTGTAATGCAAAAACTAGAATTTCTTGATTGGATCTTTGACAAACTTTAGCATCTGTGCGTAAACAGAAGATGCTTTTAAAAAATTACTGGATTCTTATGAAGATGGTTACTGTCTACGTTACATGGAGTAACTGGATCTTTTAAATGATGCTCTTTAGCAAAAATTACGTCTTCCTGGATAATGGAATCGACAGTTGATTTTTGTTACTCGTCTTTATTATGCAAATAAGACCTCCGTGAAAAATCTTCGACATGCAGTGTCTTCTATCGCTTTTAAAATATATCAGTCGTTTCGTTTCATGTGGAATTCTCCTGCCAAGTAGCTGTTCCACCAAATCTATATACTGAAGAAGGCGTCGAAGAAGGCATAGAATGAAACCGATAACCTTCTTTTATGATGGAATGCACAGTGAATGTGATAGATAGCAAACTGGTCTGGTAAACGAGATGCGGAGAGAATAGGTGGATTCACTTTTTTCACATTATTATTTTTGGGGAAAGGGAAATCAACACATTAGATCAAAGTTTAAACTTGCTTCGCTGAATTTCTCTACCTGTCAATTTTATGTCATCCGGACACGTACTAGAACAATATAAGAATTATTTCTTTGTTTTAGAAATATGCTGCACCGGTCATCGTGCAGCTACGAAAGTTAAGTAACATCGAACCATATCAGTACCGAAATAGGTGACCGCTTGGGCATGCCAGGTACTGTAAGCTGGGATGTGCGAGTGGTGCAATGGTTAACGGCTCAGAATGGGAAATCAGAGAGCTGAGTTTCAATTTCAGTCGGGTTCGTTATATACACTTACGCGTAAATACCCCTGGGAAAGTTATGAATTCACCCCTTCTGCTCCCAAGTATGAGTTAATTATTAGAACTTGTATCAGTATAAAGCATTATCCCCAACAAATTCTCACAGTCTAAAAGTAAGATCTGGCTTTAAAAACCTACAAAAGGTTAATAAACCAAAACAAAAAAAAAATCAGTTACTCATTTAGGACTACCCGTTTAGAAAGACTGTTTTCTTTATTAATATGAAAAGAAGTTAACATCTTTCTTTTTAATACACGGTCCTTGGAGGCTATTTGGGTCTCTCTAGCATCGTGTCGCTAATTATCTCTTTATTCGCCACTAAGTTTGCGAGATATCTTTTACGGCGTCTAGCTTTTGAAAGCTCGTCTCACTTTGCAAAATTTTTCTTAAACTATGATTTAGCATGGCTTCTTGGGAAAGATAGCCGAGCGGTTTTCTGCAGACTTCTTCACGGTCTTCAATTTAGAGTAAACCTTCTCCTTGACTCGTTACCACTCAAGGCTAGAGAAGAGAATCTACTGTGCTATTTAATCATAGCAAAGGTTTGGCGAGGGAATGGTTTTAATCCTTTCCCGTATTTCGTGTTATAACAGAGAATGTCACCTTAATATAAGAATTATTTCTTTGTTTTTGCATTATTCTATTTGTCGTATATTTATTCAAAATTATGGCACAAGGCCGAAGGGAAAATGGGAAAACATTGAGCTACACTGAATATCCTGGTCCTAGTTAATCACAATCACGACCCATTGATTCATTACAATGCACACAATCATCACAAGAACTGACCCATCATCTCTCAATCCTACATATACCAAAAATACCAAAATACCACATATTCAAAGGGGACTTACAAAACACCCCATGACTTAAAAATATACAAATGTTCAAAAGTCTCTTTTTGGTTTCTTTTTTTGTCCTTTTTTAAAAAAAAAGATATTTTTAAAGTTTCATGAAGCATGAAATGGTGAATGAGGAGATGAATTCAAAAAAGAAAATAAATACACAACAAAATATTCAAACTAAAACAAAACAGATGTTAGTTGGACCTTTCCAACCCCCTCGAAATAATAAAAGTGGCCGATGTATTCTGCTAATAGACAGAATCAACAGGCAATCTCTCCAATGGAATGAGAAGGATAAAAAATAAATTAATTACGGAATGGAGAAATCAAAGTTTGACCCAGCCGAGATGAAAAAGAAGATAAACAAACTGGTGAGGTTGGGAATCTTGACATAGATCGTAACAAATGAGATTGCCGGGAGCAGGCCAGGAGGAACACTTATTCACATTAACTAAGAAAACAAGAAACATCTAAATTAACCAGAGGAGGGTTCCCAGGGTAACTGCCCCATTGTACTTACGGGGATTTAAAAGAGAAAATCAAGGCTAGCACTTGAACCCACGTTTCGACAAAATCTGACGATATGAAACGCTTTTTGTCGCTCTCTGTCCGATCCGATTCATCCTGAGCAGATATCCAAAGAATATGACGAGAATAACGTTCGTATCGCAAGATTCCCTCCGTTGTCCATACCACCATTCTTGCTACGGCTAGCAACGTGGGAAACAACATCTATTACGCTCTGGAAAAACATTGTCATGCGTGTACGCAGATCGAGAGCGATATGAGTTGTCAACCCACTGATATAGTCCCAGAAAGGACAATGGTAGAAGGCATTTCTTCTAAACCAAGGTCAGAGCGATGGCAGTCGGGCAAATCTATCCAGCCCCATCTGAAGGCTACGCCATTCAGAGGTAGAACGTTACGAATCAATCGCCAGGTAAGCGAAAACTCCGAGTTGCGCCCCAAACCAGAAAGAGTGCAATTCTGATGCCGACAAACCGAACCGGCTACAAAGGCGGTCCGTTGCAACTCCCTCCACCAGAACATGGTTCAATAGCCTACGAGGCCATGAAAGGTCACTGGGCCGAAGTAGAGCCCTTAAGATCGCCCGAAACTCTCGCAGCAAACTCGACTGATTCCGAGGCTTACGATCAGCCTAGGAAATAGAGAGATTGATAGTAATGCTAGGGAAGGCGTCCCTAACACTCCGGCGTACGAACACCAACCTTGAAGCGTGCCGATGGCTCAACAAGTGTGACATTCCAAGTCCCTCCCCACATGATACGGAAGTTTGGCAACGCTTTCGACCTGCTCTCCAAGATGGAAGTCAACAAGCAATCGAGCGCCTTTTTTTTTTGGTCTTGCAGAGAAGTACAGTCAGTCGATAAAGGATCATCGGAAAGACATACAAAGCACACGCCTCCGATTTACCCTCTGCGGACAACTGCAGTCGAAGCCAATTCTGGACCGCCATTTCGACCTTTGACTGTACTTCGGACAAATTCTTCAGCTGGAGACCGGGCCCGAACTACACTCCAAATATGTGGACGTGTCCGTCTGCCGAATTAAAGGGCCCCGGAAGCGCGACACCCTTCAAGGCACCTAACCGCAAGCCGAATGCCTTGGTACTGTTAGTTCTGGACCACATAACCTCTTCATACCACTCAGGCGTCTTCTGACCACCTAAATGTAGTTATGGCACGATAAAAAAAATAGATACATCATCGGCGTAAAGGAATGTTGGAAACTGAAAAAAAAATGTCGGATAACGAAGGAACTGTAATTGCTCAAGATTCTTTTGCAAATTCTATTTTTCGTATTATAGGCATCATGAAGACGTATTTCGACTAGATTGTCTCGGATGGACAGATGAAAGTAATATTTCGTTACAGCTACAAAAATTAGGACCTGTGGAACATGAGAAATATGTAAATTGCATACTTCCTAAGAAATCTGCTGATATCACATTTGTAGAGACAATTTTGTTATTAGAAAGATATTTATGATAAAAACTCTCATTTAAACACCCGTTGGCACTATTTCAATTTAGTAAAAAAAAAAAAAAAGGAGCATGAAGACAGACTATTTATCGTATGCTACGGTAGTTAATCGACAATGCATGAAATTCAAACTCAGTGAATTAAGCACTGTCATGTTTAAATGGTCAATTTCTGTCCAGGGCCTTACGGCGAAAAAAGACGCTGAAATCCGCGCCCGAATTCTAACAAGACACTAATTTAACCCTCTAGAAAATAGTTGAGGAATGTGACAAATTAGAAAATTTCAGGTACGATACTCAAAAAGATGAAAATAGAAAAAACCTTGCAAGTAGTAC